AACAGGCACGAACTATGTCTATGATGTATTGCTGACAGCTTACATGTACTAGCATTACCTGATTAGGCCATGTTGATTTGATTGTATGGATGACATCCTCTGGGAAACCCCAAAACTGATGCGCCCGTGACGAAATAAAAAAAAAGTTTAGACAAAAAAAAAAAGTTGCTTTCACTATGAAATCTACGTGGTCATGAAGGTTGAACAAATGGCACAGAATATGTTATGGCGAATAATCTACTCTTCGAATTCATTTCTTTACATTTTTGTCTTTTTTCCTTTGATTTTGGCATTCTACGACATTGGTATCGTTTCTAAATGTTTTCCCTGCAACTTATGGTATATTTTTGCTCATTTAGCAACTGTTTTGCACGATTTACAGTATGGTTGAAAACTTTTTTTTTTGTAGGAATGGCCGAAAATTCATGCGCGCGTGGATGTCATCCATATAATCAAATCAACATGGCCTTAAGTACCGTCGTGCCTCCTTAATTAAATCCGGCCTGGTGAATTTTACACATTTATTATAAAAGTCTGAGTTGTTGACTATCGTAATCCTTGTTTAAAGTTAGCGGGCCACGTTTAGTTTGGCTAGCCGGCAATAGTTTGGTGTAGACAGTGAATCGAGGCGGGAGATTTGAAATTCAGCACTCTCATACTTATTAAGTACCGTCATGCCTCCTTAATTAAATCCGGCCCGTTGAATTTTACACATTTAGTATAAAGTCTTAGTTGTTCACTATCGTAATCTGACTTTAAAGTTAGCGGGCCACGTTTAGTTTGGCTAGCCGGCAATAGTTTGGTGTAGACAGTGAATCGTGGCGGGAGATTTGAAATTCTGCCCTCTCTTAACCAATATTGAGTACGGTCGTGCCTCATTAATTAAATCCGGCCCGTTGAATTTGACCCGTTTAGTTCAAATTCTTAGTTGTTAACTATCGTAATCCTTGTTTAAAGTTAGCGGGCCACGTTAAGTTTGGCTAGCCGGCATTAGTTTGGTGTAGACAGTGCATTGTGGCGGGAGATTTGAAATTCTGCCCTCTCTTACCCAATAAGTACGGTCGTGCCTCCTTAATTAAATCCGGCCCGGTGAATTTGACACATTTATTATAGAGTCTGAGTTGTTGACTATCGTAATCTTCTTTAAAGTTAGCGGGCCACGTTTAGTTTGGCTAGCCGGCAATAGTTTGGTGTAGACAGTGAATCGTGGCGGGAGATTTGAAATTCTGCCCTCTCTTGGTCATTAAGTACCGTCGTGCCTCCTTAATTAAATCCGGCCCGTTGAATTTTACACATTTTAGGTATAAAGTCTTAGTTGATGACTATCGTAATCCTTGTTTAAAAGTTAGCGGGCCACGTTTAGTTCGGAGCAGACAATAAACGCGGCGGGTGATATAACATTCTGCCCTCTTTTACTCATTAAGTACCATCCTGCCACGTTAATTAAATCCGGCCCGTTGAATTCGATACTTTTAGCCTATAGTCTTGGTTGTTGACTATCGTAATCCGACTTTTGAGTTAGTGGACCACGTTTAGTTCGGTATAGACAATGAACTTTGTATGTATGTAAAAGCGGCGGGAGATTTGAAATTCTGCCCTGTCATACTCATTAAGTACCGTCGTGCCTCGGTAATTAAATCCAGCCCGTTGAATTTCATACCTTTAGGACATAGAGTAGGTGTATGGCTACAAGTATCAATCTTTGAATTTAACGGGCCACATTTTGTTAGACGGCAGATACACTTTATACCCTTTCCAGCAGCCCACTCAGATGGCGTAAGATTTGAAATTCTGCCCTATCGATCATACGTAAGTATACCCTTGTGCCTCCTTAATCAAATCCGACCCATTGAATTTGATACTTTTAGTGTATATAGTCTTGGTTGTTGACTACCGTAATCCGTCTGTAAAGGCCACGTTCAGTTTGGTGCAGCTATAACTGCTGAGTACACATATCTCTTATGCCTAATTAGGCCCGCTGTCAACGGCCTAATTAAATCCGGCAGGTAAAATCTGAAACTTGTAGTAGACTTGTGATGTAATAAGCTATCATAACGCTTTTTTCAAGTTCATCTGCCATATTTTTTGGCTAAATTACTGATTTTTTGGGTTTTCGAATCGGTACCCGAATCAGTTGCTATGTTCCATCTAGCGGCGAAACGCCGGCTGTAACGCCGGCTACGAATCGAAGGCTGAAACGCCGGCTAGCTTCACCTTGGTGCACGCGGAGGGCGCCACGCTGCTCGCCCTGGTCACGGTAAGGTCCCGTGATTCCCTTTCTATCTCGGCCATATATCACAGGACTTGGCATGAAGTACCAAAGTTTGGCTCATCCACTTTTATACACAGTCCATTGCCTTTGGTGTACTGAATATCGCTGATATTTGAGCTTTACGAGCAATTTATCAAAACTGAATTCATTTGTATAATGAAACAGGTTTGCAATCATTTGAACTTATATGAGACTGCATATACATGCATACGTGTATTAGTTACTAGAGTTTAATTTCCCGCCTGTACATGCAGTCCCTTGTGACGCCGCTAGGATTCCTGTTCTGGACCCTGTTTGCTGAAGACCCGTTCGAATTCCACGTCAACACCGGGAACGCCACCTGGTTCTCCCTGGGAGCTCTGGTCCTCATGGTTCCCGCTATCTACTTCTACAACACAGGGTAGGTCCGATTGAACGTGATTGAGTGAATGAGTTTTCTTTCTGTTTTATGGGATAAAGCCATTCAGTGTGTAAATAAAACAAAGCTAGATCTCCATTATAATTTTTGGTCTTTTTCTCTGAGAGAGGGTTGGGGGTTACACCGTAATCCCGGAACATAAGCAAATGCCTTTTTTTCTTTTGCAGAATGCCTGAACGTTCCAGCGATATCAAGACAAAAACCACAGATCCGGAGAGACAGCCTTTTCTGGACACTTCGCACGTTCAATATTCTGGTACCTGAACTCGAAGGGAGAAGAAATCCACACTAAATACCCTAGCTACAAATCTGTCTGTTTGCTAATGACTGATCCGTTTGAAAAAGTTACAATGTTGCACTTTGTGCCATCTTCGCAAGAGGGCAATATACGTTTATGCGCATGTCCATAAAAGGCTGAATCTTCTTCGCAACTAAGCGCAGCACATGCGCATAATGCGCTAACCGATTAAACATTACGAAAGCAACTACGTCGTATACGCAGATCCATTTAATAGTGTTATACATGTAGTAATGGAAAATCTTTATTACATAACAATCCAAGTTAGATCTACAGAAAATATGTTTATATTTTGTGATATGTACAAATGTAAATGTGAGAGGGGACTACCAATGAAATATGAACGTACTAATATACGCAGAGAAATTTTCTGTTTGAGCTAGTCAAACAATATGTACGTACATGTATGTTGTTCCCTCTTTCAAATCTGAGTTGTCGAAATGATTAAGCAATTTCGAACCACCTTTATTATTATTTTATTGACTTAAGAAATGGTGACAAATGGCACAAAAGACATGATTCACAATTCCCATATACTCGTACCAAAAGACAGTCTTCTGTTCTGACAAACTTCGCTCGCTCTCTCTACTTGCTTTTATACTTCAGCCGACATCAAGGCGTCAGCTGACAGCTTGTTTGAGAATGTCGTCATAAAAATCAAGTTACAACATGTTTGTACGGCATGGGAATGGATATTAGTGTTGATTTTGCTTATGTAATATGTACAAACCTGTCAATGAGTTTGCTCACCTTTGATGTACTTTTCCATTGTTCTTCTAGGCTGGGAAAATATCAAAGAGGTCACCCCAACTTTGATCAATAAGTCTTGAATCTAAAATCTTTGAAACGGAGTTTTTTGAGTCGTACAACGAACAAATAAAACATATTCACATATATACATATACTAGTACATATTTACAGATGTTATGCCATGGAATATAAAACTATCCGGAATATATCCATCGGAATTGGAAATCTTTTAGAACACCCCCCCCCCCCAAATGTTCACCCCTTTGATGTAAGGTTGTAGTATACTTTAGCTTTTAGGAGTCTCTGTCCGTGTCCGCCCAAACAACTTTGAAAGAAATGATGAGAATGAAGTGGTTTTAACGGTATCGGTGTCCTTTGTGGAATAAACCGGCTCTACTTTTATCCAATTCAAAATGGCCTGCTCCTGGCCTTTGTTCAAGTTACTGTCCATACTTAAAAATCTTTTATTTGCCACCAGTCGTCTTAGTTTAGGTTGGCGATTTAGAATTGCGTCAAAGTGCTCCTCATCGTAGAGTCCATCGTCGCTGATGTCATGATGACCAAAGAGGAGAAGAAATACTCCTGGAAATAAGATGCAGAAAAATATACGTTACATCATTCCATTTCGAAAATCTGTGCATAAATATAAACTTGACTATATATAGCTAGTTCTTGGTACTCTATATGTGCTTAACAATGTTCTAAACATGTATATAGAAAAAGGCTGCTCAAATTTTTGGTTTACAGTATTGCCCATTGAAGAAAGATGCGTTTAATCCTAGTGGTTTTAATATTTTAAATTTTGTATAACTCTTAATCAAAATGGATTCCTTGTAGCTTGTATACAATACTAGTTCTTGTTAGGACTCAGTTTCCTGTGTGGCAAACACATTATAGACAAAGATTACTTCCATGATACTTTAAATTATCTATAATACCATCATCAGCGCAAAATTTTTCGGCTGCATCGACGACTTGGCTTGCTTCGTCAGGCTCAGTGGGTGACAGGATGATGTTCCTAGCACTGTTGTCGACGCAGCACAGGACTTTGCACGGCCGGTGAGAGTCGAGTTCCTTTCGCAGACGTTCTTCGTCATTCCTTGTTGACACATGGAATGGCTTTACGTCGGGTACCTCTTCACCTTTGTTGTCTTCAACAATCCTCGTTACAAGCTCCTTGGCTTCGCTGAGTGTTTCAACATTGCGTGCCGTAACGTAGATCGTTAGCTGCCCCATTCAGGTTTTGAAACGATTTTCAGAATACAGTATCTATAAGAGAGAGTAATTCTGACATTGGACTTCAGGCCACAAGCACGCACACACAGGGGACACATACTCGTACTCGCCCACACGCGCATACTCACCCAATTACACACACACACACACACACACACACACACACACACACACACACACACACACACACACACACACACACACACACACACACACACACATGGACACATGGACAAATGGATGGATAAATGAATAAAGACCTTTATTGTATACACATAACCACTGGCATGGGTTAAGTACAGGTCACAACAAAAGGATGGAATACAGATAATGTTACATATATACATCGTCAAGTTACTACAATTAAGTACATTCGATTTCTTCTCGTTTCTTAGCTAGTAAGTAGAAGGTTTGTATAAGCTCATTAGAAAAAGAAATTTATCTGTACAACTTAGATGTTTGAAGAAGGGGAACATAGATTGTATCAGATAATAAAGAACTGCTCTCTCTTTGTTGTATAATTTACATTCTATTACAAAATGTTTCTCATAATGCATCCATCATATACATGTGACCTAGCAAGCGGACGTGTGAAAACATTATAGTTCATTGTATAAAGAAAAAATAACAAAACGTTGGAGTTAGACACTTTTTAATCTACGTTATATACATTTTCACATGGGCATGTTATCTGCAATTGCTATCTGCATTTATACATGGGCATGTTTACGTTATCAACGTGTTATCTATGTCTGCCCTCGGGCATGTATTTGCAATAAACATTCATATGTATTGCGGATGAAATTATGCATGAAAAAAACCTTCCTTGGGGATATTTTGTTATTAGATCTGCAGCAAATCGACCATAACTCGAGTGACCCCGTCTGTATTTTTATTTTGTGTAAATGTTGGGCTTATTTCGGCTGTAATTCTTTTTGTGTCTGCACGTCCAAACATTTTACATGAATAAATGAAATCTTACAAGGTACTGATTTCGACATATTTTTTAGAATAACCATAGTGTTAAAATCACAATCATATGCATCAATCGCAGATGAAGAGGCATAGGGGAGTGTTTGTTTAACTTTTCCTCTCTTTCGACAACTTAAGAACTAATTCCAACACCAGCAGCTGTAGATCATAGCTAAATTGTTTTCACCATATATACAATACCGTGCAGTATCTAGGATTGACTAGACATTTCAGTCAATTAAGTACAAACTTGACGAATATCTTGGTGTGTTATGCGAAAGTTTCTTACGTTGCCAATGTTGCTCCTACCATTGACTTCATGCTGCTAATGCATTATTGTTGCCATCGTCTACCTTATGATCCAATTTCTCAATCACTCATGTTACGTGCATGAAGGCAAAATATTACGAAACTACGCATTGTTGACTTGGCTCAAATGAATCAGTACTAGTGTTTTCATTGTATGCCAAATGTTGATCATAGGAAGGAGCAAGAAGGTTGCATAACAAAATAAGAAGGCCTTTGTCAATTTCTTCGTCTGGCAAAAAATTGCCAAACACATCTACATCACACCCCACATCTTGCCCCTCGACAGCTGCATGATAAAGTTTCAGTTCTGTTGTCCTTTTCTTGTTGCCGACAAGGACTAGTGCACTCTCTGCTTTACTCTTCCTTTTCTTGTACTCACCCATTTCTTGCAGACGCTGGCCGTCCGGGATTTTGTCGGCCTTGCTCATAACCAGAAATACCGGTAGGTCTAGAGGAAACAAAAAGCGTAGGTATTTACATCCATATTCATGTGAGTAAAGCACCAGACATGCATAACCAAATTTTAAGTTAGAACATATTCAGAATTATGTCACGCAGTGATTTATTCCAAGCAACACATTTACAATTTACATGAATCTAGATATGTTCCTGAGAAGCTGTTCTGTATTAAAGGCGTATTGTGGCAATATATTACTGCATGCTACAGGGTTACGGTATATCAATGTCAGGTAATTATAGGGAAAATCATATGAGTGTAAAAACAAAACTTACTTCTGCTTTTGTTACCCTGGGGTGTAGTTGTATCCTTGACCAGTTTCAGCAAGTTTTCTGGAGCTGCGTTGTCACAAGGACAGAGGAACAGGAGCCTGTGAAACCTGTTCTCTTGGTTCACGGTCGCAAACTTTTTACGGAGATCTCTGACTGTCACTAACTGTCTCTCTTTCTTGACGCTGTCAAATAAATGTGTTCCATCTGGAACTTTTCCATCTAAAGTCAGGCCGATAAACTCCCCATACGCCTCATCCGATAGATTCTCAATACCTGCACAGTCCCAAAAGTACACCTTTTTCTCGTAGTTTTCCACTTTCTCATTCATGAACTTGTCTTGGAACATTAGAATCTTCTTCACCCAAAGCGTCTTATTGCTATCTCCCTTTCCAAACTGAGCCAGCTCATGCCATTGCTCTGCGAGCGCCATGTTCATGGAGTTTATCAGCGTTGATTTACATGATCCAGGGAGGCCTACAACCAAAACGTTCAAATCTTCTTCTCTTTCTTTAAGAAGTTGGCGAACTTGTACTCGTAGTTCCGATATTGTTGGTATATTCCTAGCACCTTCCATTCTGTTTTAACTGGGTGAACAGCGCTGGTATCATTGACCAATGTCCGACTGTGACTTGCTGGTTAATTCTCTGTGTGGTTGTCTTATATATGAATGGCCTGTGCAAATATCAAGTATTGCATACAGCCAATAAAATGACATAACGACATTGAAAGTGAACACGTGACTTCCAGAAACCAATCAGAGTTATACTAGACAACTTGTGACCTGTTCAGTACGTTATCTTGCATTTCGAACTCCCCACGAATGTTTTTGATATTCAGTGCTATCTTTTACTGACAGCATCGTCAAATGCACACGTGACAAATGGCCTTGCCTTGCATAAAGCGTTTCTACATTCTACAATGTCGGTCATACAATGTTTCTACGACGATACATGTAATGTGTGTTGTGCACTTCTGGCTATCATCACCTTCTTTCTGGGAGTATTTGTAAGTGCAATGCTTGCATTGTGTCGTTCCTGGGGATGCCGTAGTAACTGTCTAGGCCGTACCAAGGTAAGCCAAAGGTCATTGGTAAAAGTTCTAAATCATACTCTGAAATGGCCACTTTTCAATACCACTTTCTGTCTTTCATATTCGGTTATATACTTTTAAAGAGAAGTACATAAGTACCTGGGGTAGTGACAGAAAAAAATAGGGACATACTACAGAGGTCACAATCTTCGCTTGCCAACCAACCTCTGCTTGGAGAGTATAGTACATGGGCTTCAAAGGAGTATTGGAGTTTTAGGGAGCTGTGGCTATTCTATTACCTGAGTGTTGAATACCCCTTAATTTGCGAAAGATTTGCTGACAAAGATCTTACAGTACTATTGAGTATATCCATCTTTTATGTTTTGTAGTTAATTGTATAATCTATTTCTTCTTCCAATTAGAAACTATGCATTGTGGCTTATAACAGTTCGACCCTCGACAAGGTTAGAGATCACATGGAGTTCTTGGAGTTCGAGGGAGAAAATATAGACATTGAGGAGCTCCAACTGGAAACTACAGATAGTAAACCTAACTTCAGTCGCATCAAGTACGTGCTATGTTGTGTAGAGCAGACATCCGGAAGGACAATCATACTCTCCGATAACGAACCGGACCAGCTTGGAGCTATTACTGCCCACGCGAAAATGGCCAAAGGTACGTGTTTTACATGGTATCGTATCTTTCCTTCCATTAGAAATAATAATAATAAACTTTATTGTACATTTATGTACATATTATGCATAGGCAAACGGTAATTGCAATGGGTCAATTTAGCTACATGACGCTTCTTACAGCCCTTCCAATGGTAAGGCCCCTAGGCCCTATATGCCCCAATAAGCCCCTGATAGCAAAATATATGTAACACAGACTGTATGTCAAGTGTTCGCATATACTGTATTTTCTTGTGCTGTAATCACCGTATTCCTCTTCTGTGTAAAGCCCCTGTCCCACATTCACGAATTTGGCCTCCCGAACGCCGACCCAATCGGCTGGTGTTCGGGAACGAATTCGTGAATGTGGGACAGGGGCTTTAGGTACAGGGGTCCGCGGGCGGTCCCCACTGCAAACCACAATAAAAAGGTCTAATGCTACATTTATATGAACAGATTTGTGACATAAATATTATCTTTTCTTCTAGCCCACTGCGCCATCCTTGTGCTAGGTACACGGGACCCTCCAAACGGACAACTCTACGATGAGACCCAACTGGATGATTTAATGACTAGTCAAACGAGACTTAAAGAATACAGCGACTCCAAGAGATTGTTCAGCTTTAGCAGTGCCTTAAACGACAATCAAAAGAGTGCTATCATGGAATGGCTTGGACTCAAAAGTCAAAGTGTCAATGGAAGAAATCAGATTAGTGACAGTTTTGTGAAGAATCCGGAATGAATTAAAACTACCGCGTAAATTGTTCCAGGTTAGTCAATAACAATACTCCAAGATATTACTTGAGCACATCTTCGTGGACTACCCGTATGAAAATATGTACAAGATCGCTTTAATGATATTCTACAATGGTAAAACGCAAATTTAAAGCTTCTCTTATTAGCCTACCGGTGAGCTTTCTCACTTTCTTAATAAATATTTTTCAAGTAAAGCTGTCTAATGACTGTTCCTTCATTATCGTTGTCAAGTATAAACATTATAGTAGCCGCAAATATCTGTTACAAAAAAGGAACACAAGAACAACTAATTATCAGTTGTGGGAATAAAAAGTGTAATTTGTTGTCAGGTGACAAAAAATATAGTTTTGAAGTTATTCCCCGCGTGGTAAGAAATTATATTTGTACACATAAATAACCAATGGAATTGCAGGCTGTTAAAGATTAAACGGGCATGTACGTAGGTTGTGTATTTTAATATTGCTGATTGTAACTCCCAAAGCCATCATTTCGTCGGCAGATGAACCCAATAAGTTAGAATAAGTTAGAATTTAATGTTTAGTAATTAGAGCAGTTGCACAGTATATTGTTATCCACCCTGTTGTCCATCTTTTATTTTCATATTACATGTACATGTACTTGCAATTAGTGTAAGGGCAAGAACTTGCAGAAAACTTTCACTAATCAATCTTTTGAGACTACGCAGACGTGCCAACAAACTTAAAAGGCGGTAGTCCTTTGATGTACCTGTTGACAATATCTCAAGAGGTGTGCAGTATCAGCAAAATCAGCGGTATCAGTCGGTTCAGCTACAAGTAGGCAACGCTAACGTAGAAATCAATATCACCGTGGGTACATGTTGATGAGACAGGTAGACCTTATATACCTGGTTGGGAGAACAATGGGTGGATATAGCATGTCTATTTGCATATCTACTTCAAAGTCCTTCTTACATGTACACGCCCTTGCCCAATATCCCACGGTTCGTCCGTTAGCAAGTAAACAACCTTTGTCACCGTGGGCCTTCGTGTGAAAAGTTCAAAGACAAACGAAGTAATAAGCTGATTAGATGTTTTTTGTCTGTTGACAAGCAATTTCTGTTGACAATCATCCCTGGAAAATAAAGCAATGCCATTCCTTTCAAGTACGATTTTTAGTTATGGGGATGTGGTAGATATGAGCATGTAGCGTTTGACTCATTGAAACGTCATTGAACACATAGTGTACTCTCGGGAAATTTACAGCTCTGAAATCCCAGTTAGTGTAATTTCACAGAAAGAGAGAGAGAGAGGGAGAGAGAGAGAGATACGCACACACGGACTGTGACACACATCATGCACGATCGTACGTACGCAAACACACAAATAAACACACGTAAACACGCACACGAACACAGACTCGCACTCACGCAGAACACACAAACAAATACACACACACACAAACACACGCACGTCTAGAAATTAACTAAATTACTGGTGAATAATCAGTCCCAATTTTACATTTAAGATTACAATGTGCTAGTCTGACAATAGAAAATCATCGTCCACAATACATGAAACTATCGTGTGCTATTAAGTCAGAGACTGTTACGCCACAGTGGCTCTTATTTGAATCCATGACCTATCTATAAATGGGTACTCAAAGTGAAATATACCACAGGTAGACATTTCTACACACAGAGTGCGAGCTAGGCTAACCTAACTAGAACATGGCTAGTTATATGGTTGCAATCAGAGAAATGTCCATGGAGGCTATCTTGTACGTCATCGCCATGATTGCATTGGACAATACATCGTGCCCCCGAGGATTACAAAATATCATCTTTATAATATTCACAATCTATTCAACTGATTTAAATGAAACATTACTTGGGGGTTCTTACCTTGTGTGTCATTTGGTGCTCTTGAAATTCTACGGCGTCATAACAATGTGAAAACCTATCTGCTTATAGGGAAACATACATGTAATCTATTCTTGAACATTGTACTCGCATTACCTCAGCAAATTCAGATCGCTCTGTGATGTTGTGTACACAATCTTCTGACCAGTTTTAGGCGCCGTCTTGCGGTTAAAATTGGTAGCACAGGCTAGTTCATTCTAACCTTGTGGTCGCCATAGCGACCATGGTGTGCCTTGCAGTCACCCTGATGCGATGGGTAGAGCTACTCAAGAGCTGACCAATATTACAAAGTTAGTCAGTAAAGAACCCAGTAGCTGCCTAACCAATATTAGGACTGGAGGACTGGGAGTGTTTTATGATATTGGTACTGGTACGTATGGGCAGAAATAAGCTGTCATGTGACCTCTATCATTCATGAGCTAATGGAGATAGTTGGCCGACGGCACATTTGAGCGATGAGCATTTTCAATCATCCCTATTTCATAGCTAGCATGCCTTTCTATTTCCATGTTCCCTGCCCCTCTTCCCTTATCACTAAACCACTATAAAATCCTTTTCAAATAAACTATTCAACTAATCAATTTTCTATTTGTTCTTCCCCTCTGCATAGAGATATGTGAAAAAAAAACACTCTGTTGTACTGCAACAACATGCCAGCCATTAAGGTAATCGATCTTCAGTCAGTCCCGAGTCTGTTAGCGACCTTTCACTCATTGACTTTATTATTCCCCAAATATTTGATTTGTTTTTGTTTGAAATACAGACGATATGCACACAACAAGTTGACTTAAAAAGCTGCCGAATATCACGGGACTGGGATCCAATCTTGACCTTTGCCCATTTAATATGTACATACCTGTCACTGATGTATCATTCCATTGTTCTCTTGTGCTGGGAAAATATCAAAGAGGTCAACCTTACCCCCTGCAAAGACTCGCAACGTGTGATAAGGTATCATTAATCTATATTTTTCATATTTTGGATCACAGTGGCAAAATTTCTATTGTTTTGTAGTGTTTTATTTCGCGTGTTTACACAATTGATCATCGAATAAAGCATTCGTGATTTTATTCATGATGCAACAAAGATGTCAAATTTGTCTTGTCAGAACACTGTTGGTTGAAGGTGCATGGGAAAGATCTGATTACACGCTGCGTCAGGTGATTTGATAACTGATATCCCTTATCACACGCAGTGACGCACGTTCCCAGACGGTTGAAGTGACAGGACGATAACAAAGACATGATCAGCAGTTTGTTGTTGACACCCTGGCGCAGACTAAAGGGATCGCCGACAATGTAACTATCGTGTTTACACCAAGGTCTCTCAAAATGACTCTTAACTATTTCTCACAGGATCAAAGAAGTTTCACACGAAGCTCCCGTTCGGCAGTAGGTAGTTGTATTGATTCATTGTTGTATCTTATACATGTATAGGTTTTCTCATATCATTGTTATAAAACTGGGTTCCTGACAGTTGCGATAACTTAGAAAACAAGGTGGTAAGCAGTGTATCGTTGATACGTTAGTTCAGGCTAAAAGGGTTCACTGACAATGTAAACGTCGCGTCTTTACACAAACTCCTCTGTGATTTTAAAAGCCAACGTTGACTATTTTTAAAGATAATGATACAGCGGTAGATATTTATGTGTACATTGCCGATACCAATGACACATATATAGGTACAATGGAAGCACTTGAAGAGATTGAAGAGAAAAATATTTGCTGACAGCTAATCTAATTAGCCTACCACAAATACGTAGGGAGGGCGTGCTAGGACTTGCGCTAATAGAATAAAGATTTTAGCCAAATGCATTGCATTTATTTATTTGTTAGTTTATGTATAATTATAGCTTTGTTTAATTCCCTATCTTGTTTGATAATGGTACTGATATACGTTTGATGTAACTTAAATACCTACAAATTTATTTATTTCTGTTTTAATGAAAGGGTGTATTTGTATCATTCAAAAATTAGTATCTCATGAAGAATAAAGTAACGCACAATTGATTCTTGGTTCTTTAATTTTCCAGTGTTTCCAAATGAGTTTGCATCAAGCGACAATAAACTTCTAAAAGCCCTTACCACAATTGAGGAGACCGGCTTTACGTATTTCGTATGCAATTCATGATCATGTGAAACAAACACATTTGTATTTCTAAAATATCACTGTAATAATCTTCGGCATTGTTTTTTGTAACACAACATAAATTCTTTCAACTTTACAACAAATTATTGCTTTTTGTAGACTGGGATGAATTATTGTTTAGATGGTCACACTTACACACCCTACATCATTACAGGAAATATCATGATTGCCCTTTAAGTACGTGCCCCTTTTATCTTGACGAGTTACCTGTAGGTGCTCAGGTTATAGCTGACAAAAATCCGATTAGTCGACAGTTGTAGACATTCGGTTCAGTCAAGAAACTTAACAATCGTACAGTCAATGGAATGTGAAACGTTCTGTATTCTCTGCATTTTTTTCTTTCTTGTTTGGTTTGCTTGATAGTCTGACCTTTAAGAGACAAATCTTAAATAAGTGTAATAAGTTGAAACATTGTCATCATCTGCTTACGTTTAGCAAGCATAAAGTAACAAATTCTGTTCAATACAATTTGTGTGTCACGGAATCATGGCTTCACACTTCTAGTCATTAATATATCAATCAATCAATCAATCAATCAACTTTATTGCTCAACAACTGTAGCTGGTACAGTGTATGGCAAAGAAACAACAATAAGACCACCATATTTACGTTAGGGCTATATATTCCAACTGCAAAATCTGCAATAAATTACCTATTGTGTGGTAAAGAGTTTTAACAAAATACATATATTTGGCCATTTGCTGTTTGAAAATAATTGTTTTCGAGATTCACAAAAGAAAGAACACGAAAATGAAATGAAAGAACATATTAACGATTAGACTAGGTCTATTTAGATTATTTGAGGAATTTCACTTCATTACATTCATTTAAGTTCCCTTCAGCATTTCTCAATTCAATGTCATGGTGACTACTTGAACTATAACATTTCAGGGGTTTTCATACACGGTACCCTGTTCGTAAGAGCTGTTAGTCAGGTTAAAACAAAATGCCATTAATCTTTTATCGATCTCTGCCACCGGATTAAATTGCTGAAGATGATTACGGCGACACTTAGCATTACAGTACAGATAGGTTTCACAAAACTTTTGATTTTCGCCAACCAGGTTCAGTGCTTGTAACGCCTCCTGCTTTCTTTCTTCGTAGGCTTGGTTGTTTGTGCCGATCTTATCAAGCTTCGTTATCAGAAGGAAAAGGGGAATAGCTGTAGAAACAAGAAAGAGGCATACAAAGTGGTTATAACATGTTCAACTGTCAACAATCTGGTTTTAAGCATAATTTTGAAATCGCAATGGATGCTTTTAATGGAGACGGCAAATATCACCTACCTCTGTCCCTGACCTCTGCTGCCTGTCGCACGGCTTCCATTAAGTTTCTCGGCAGTGGTTTGTCGGCCTCCAATAAAAGAACGATACGATGAAACTTCCTGCTCGGGTCTCTTTCTGAGAATTGGCTCAAAACCCTCTCGGCATCGTCTCGAAGCTGATTGGACGCATCCAGCACATTTGTTCCGTCTGGAACACACCCCTCCAACACACGTCCTATGAAGTTCACATATACATCGTCACCGTGATCAGTGAAGCCGGCGCAGTCCCAAAAGCACACTTTGTGTGCATAGCCTTCTACTGGGGTTTCGTTATTCTCATCCAAGAACATTTCGTATTTTGTCAATAAGAACGTGATGTTTTGACCGTAGCCACTGCCACTTCGCGCCATGTCACACCATTTGTGACCGAGAGCCATCTGCATGGAGTTGATGAAGGTAGACTTTCCTGCCCCTGTATGGCCAAGAATCAGAATGTTCAGAGGCCTCTTATTTCGTTTGAGATTTTGTCGCACAGCAACTTCTTCGGCTTTGCTCTGTGCGGACCCCATATCGTGAAGTCATAGGATTTTGTAAGGGTAACCTCCCAGTGCAGTGTGCATATTAAGTATTTTTGTGAAGACGCAGATTTATAGGAGTGTATTTTTTAGAATATTTACTTTGTGCAACTACGGACCAATGACGAGGGTGTGCTATGCCAACATGTCATATTCATGAGATCACGGGTCATTTTAATCTCTCACTCGGAATATAGACGATGCAGGCGTCTATGTTGGAGACTGGCACTGAGAACATTACTTCAGGTATGAAGTTAACAGCAAAGTTAACAGTAACATTGGACATTGTTACTGGTCTCTTCTGATTCATCAGCTTTAAGGTGTGTTTTTAATGACTTTTAACCTTCCCACGGAGTAAAGTGGCAGAATGCCTGTGGACAAAAAGGTCCTAAAGGTTATTGGTAGCTTTCGATCACCGTTAGACATCGGTCGGCAATTTCAAACTGTCATATAGACAATCCATTAATATAATTTTATTCAATACTCCATGAACATAATTTCCACGTGGACAGAGGCACAGAGTAAATTGTGATTAATCTTTTCTTTTTGTCTGTCTGTTACAGGGGCCATATTATCTTCCAACAATCATGGATTGGTGGTTCCGTAAAAATACATGTATCAAAGTTCTCGTTTCTAAGGATCTTAAGAATTCAAAGCACAAAAAAACTGTCCTTGATTCTGTTGGTAAAAAACTGGGAATCGATCATGAGGAAGGTGGGGAATATAAGGAAGATGATATGACATTTATTGAATATACCTTTAATGATAATAAGACGAACAGAGGCCTGATTGTAATTTTAAGTAGAGCCGAGAGAGCGAAAAGCCACGAATATTTAGACAAGCATATAGATCACATTCGAAAAGTGATTGGGTTCGAGAATGCCATAGCGGTGTTCGCACCTGATGAAAATGAAGTACTCGATTTCGGCGGTGCAATGTGTTGGGTTTCGTCCACTAAGATGGGGAGTTTTCTGTTTGATTTACTGCCAGGTAAGACTGTACTTTAATCATCAATTTTCTTGTATAATGCCTAGTCTAGTGTTATTATCTCGTTACTTACTAGTCCTAACTTGGTACATTGTATTGTTAACATTTTGACGGTTCGCTTAGGCTAAGCCTAATGCGACAGGCGGGGCTTAACAAGGGCTTTACACTCAAGAACGTACAGAAATGTGTAAAAGATCCATTGAACAGCGTTAAAGAATTCTGCTAATTCTAAAAAGTGATACAACGCTAAAAACAACCATGACTGTTCATATTATTCATAGTTAAGAAAGAGGACCGACAGCAGGATAGCAAGGGAGGCGGGAAAGAAACGATGGAGAAATGGCCCTTACTGGACAATTGCAATGTAGGAGCTTCATTCATTTCTGTCAACTATAGTTGATATTGTAAAAACATGTATGATTCTTATTTATACAATATCGATTCTATTGTCTCAATCCATGGATGGCCAATAGGAAATGTCTATTGATTATAAGCGTACGTTGCGTTATTAAGCTTTTTGTCGAAATCAGTCTCACCACAGAAATGATTTTATCAAAGGGCTAATATGGGCCATGTTAGCTGATTATTTTGTCTTTTTCTCTTAATAATTTCCTATCTTTGATAATGCCAGTGCTACTATTATGTGGTATATCATTTCTCGTTAACCAAGTTGACTACAAGTAACCTAATTTTTTTCATTCCAGGTCAAAGTATACCTGACAGGACTTAATGAGACTACCCTGCGTGAAGTGAAGAAGGAATTGTCAACCTTCGTCGCAGGACGGTGTCTACACCAGATCCACGTATCTAAACGTTCAGAAACAGACGAAAAGCTGAGCGTGCTTGATGACAATTCCGTTGTCATCTGCTGTGTCCATGACAGAGGGCGTATAATCATCATATCCGACACCGAGCCAGATGAAGCTGGCGACATCGTGAAGAAGGCAGAAGAAGCGTGTGGAAAGCAACGTAAGAAAGATAAACCAGTTCTGAGGGGTTTATATCCTAATCACTTTCTAATCTGTTGTCAATAAAAAAATCCACACTAACTGCTCATATTAAGGTAAAGTCGTTAAAATCTGATGAAGGTCGCAGAACATGAACTTGTTTGTTGTTGGAAAGTAACAATGACGAGCTTCTAGAATCTATGATAAGCTTAGGGCGTGCACATACTCGTAAAACGTGTCTGCTATGACGCTGATGTATATCTTTCAATTTGATGCCATATCATCTTGTCTACGGAATGCCACCCTTGTAACCTTATATAATAAACGAAATACATGTAAATCAAATAAGACAGATTTCTTCGTCCGGAAGTGATCACATTTTTATGATGTTTGAATTTATCTTTATAGGTGTCATGGTGTTACTGTGTGGCCATAATGACCTGTCGGACGAAAACCAAAGCCTGTACGATAAAAACAAATTCAATGACAATTTCTTGAAGAACCAGCCGCACCTAGAGAAAAAGGTAAAGAAATGTAACTTTCTGAGCATGAATTGGACTTTAAGTAGATATCAAAAGGACCACGTAAGCAAATGGATTCAGGAAGTCAAGTCCACGCCTTCGCCAGAGGAAGGGGAAAATGAGTGGCCTGGCGAAACGGCCATGGCTACTGACGGGGGCATGATGGAACAAGTCCCTGCCAAGACCACGTCGTCGAAAGACGAGGGGGAATATATTGTTGATAATAAGGACATGATGCAATTCTAGCCATCTAATTCTAGTGATCCTCTAACAAGTATGAAATAACCCCCTTCTTTGAAATGTTTCTAACATAGGAATGTAGATGTACAACGTTCTGCGTGATATATCAAAGTTTACATCTTTGTTTGGACACAATTAATTGTTAACAAGAACAGGGCTCTATTTAGTTTCCGACCAATGTAAATTTTGAGATCAACTAAATTTTACGTTGTGTTGTTGTACCTACATGTATATCTTGTTTTAATCGACTTCTATCGGGCCCTATGCTAGCCCTTTGTATTGCTCGAGGTATTAGGCAAGGTGAGGTAACTTAACGACAGAAACATCAAGGGCGGAAAAAGGTCTTTACATTTGGAATATTTCTTTTATGAATACCTAGTATTTAATTCAATTTAAATGAAAATTACAACAATATTAGTGGCCAGAACTCAAGGGGCAGAACTGATCAACAAATTTAAGTGTCTTAAGTGTTTGAGATATATTCTTATCAAATTACAGATTTTAGGAACATTCCTGTGAAGGTGTAGGTTTGATTAACTCAAATTACGTGGTACTATTTACCAGAAGAGACGTAGTATTCTTAGCTGATCTTTCTTGTGCTTACATGTGATGAACACTCTGATAACAAAGTTCTTAAATCACGCAGTGTGCCTTGTCGTTTCTTGGTTTCTCCTGGCAACTAAAATGGTTTACATGTATCAGTGCCGTCATTAGTTAGCATTGGATTACGTGGAAATATTTTCAGTTTTAGCCAAGATAATACCGAATGACGTTACCTGCGCCAATTAATTGCTGAAGGTGTTTTGTATTCCGACGAGGGCAAAATGGATTCTAGCGGAATTGAGCGCGAGTGAAAATACCAGTAACTTATAAACACAACGGTGGAGTCGGCGTGTGGCGTAGCGGCAGAGTGCTCAACTCGGAACCAAGATGTCCCGGGTTCGAGTCCTGACATGCCACTGATATTGTGTCCTTGGGAAAGGCACTTAACACGACTTTCCTCACTTCGAATTCGATCAGGTGAAAATGAGTTGTCCCCTGTGCTGGTGGTGGCATTAATATAAGTTGACAAAACTTTGAGTGTGCTGTTACCACGTCTTGTGATTACATGTTTGTGGAATATAAAAAAAACACAACGCGATTACCTTAAGTTACCTCATTTTCTCAAAATGCTTTCGTATAGGTAAACGTTAATAATCCCAATTAAAGGATTTAACCAGACAATCTTGTACTCTTTCCGGGGACAATACATTATTATTACGGTAGGGGGAGATTCAACTACGTGCATTGTGATGTTGCGAGTCTGTGAGGGAAAATACATTCAGGGACAAAAAATTACTGTCGATATTGCCCCTGAATGTACAAATAACAATTTTCACACGCAAGCGTCAAATTACATAGTGTTTAATACCTTTAAAGGATAAGACAGCCAATTAAAGCAGGGTAAGTAAAATCGATCTTAAAAGTAAACAACAAAATACTCTGTTAAGTACGCATGACCTCTTCGCATTACGTACTAACCTTTGAACGTGTCGGGTAGAGACTTTTGAACAAGACCTCAATCGAATTAGTGGTGTTCATGCTTAACAATCACACAACATCAAATATTACGCGAAACGCATTTTTAAACATCATGTTCCATCGTCAGGTGGTTGGAGGCGATGATCAGAGTAAATACTGCCTTAACTAAGATGGCGTCCAGGCCTAGGCTAAATATTTACCGCAAAATTAAGCACACCATGCTTCACGGTAGGTAAAAGGTGAAAGGTCTCCTGAACAATACAGGGGCGCTACCTTGCGGATGAGTATATCAACACACATAGCAATAATGGTGTTCGATGCGGACATTTACACCACAAAAGCGAATGCTATAACAACTGCCCAATTCATATGTCTGCAAGGACCCCAAAAGGCAGTAAAAAGATGAAAGAAAAACAAACCAAAACGAACGATTCGTGTTACTTTGCTTCATAAGCAATTGGT